TCCATTTTTTAATTTGATTGTTTGTCTTCCTGGTGTTGAGTTGTATACTTTCTTTATATATTTTGGAAATTAACTGCTTAGCAGATGTATCATTGGCTAATATGTTTTCCCATTCAGTGGGGTCCCCCTTTTTTTTTATTTCTTTTGCTGTGCAGAAGCTTTTTAGTTTGATGTAGTCCCACTTGTTTGTTTTTTCCTTTGTTTCTCTTGCCGTAGGAGACGTATTTGAAAATTCTGCTATATGAGATGTCTGAGATTTTACTGCCTAGTTTTCTTCTAGGGTTTTTTATGGTTTTACAACTTACATTTAAGTCTTTTATTCATTTTGAGTTTATTCTTGTGTATGGTGTAAGTTGGTGGTCTAGTTTCATTTTTTTTGCATGTACCTGTCCAATTTTCCCAACACCATTTATTGAAGAGACTGTCTTGACTCCATTGTATGCTCTTGCCTCCTTTGTCAAATATTAATTGAGAGTAATGGCTTGGGTCAATTTCTGGAGTCTCTGTTCTGTTCCATTGATCCATATGTCTGTTCTTGGGCCAGTACCAGGCTGTTTTGATTACAATGTCCATGTAGTATAGTTTGATATATGTATAATTTGTGTAGTTTGATATCTGGGATTGTGATCCTCCAACTTTGTTATTCTTTTTCAAGATTGCTGAGGCTATTCACGGTCTTATTTAGTTCCATATAAAGTTTTGAAACATTTGTTTTAGATCTGAAATATGCATTTGGTGTTTTAATAGGGATTGCATTAAATCTGTAGATTACTTTGGCTATATTTGAACATTTTAATTATATTAATTTTTTCAATCTATGAACAGTGAATATTCTTCCATTTGTTTATGTCTTCCTTTATTTCTTTTTTTTAATGTCCTGTAGTTTTCCGAATACAGGTCTTTTTTCTCCTTGGTTCAGTTTATTCCTAGATATTTTGTTTTTTTCGTTGCAGTGGTAAATGGGATTCTTTTTTAAAATTTCTCTTTCTGAGACTTCATTATTAGTGTTTAGAAATGTCATCAATTTCTGAATGTTAATTTTTTATCCTGCTACTTTGTTAAATTTAGCAGTATTTGGGTGGAGTCTTTTTCTTCTTTTTAATACCTGATTGGGAATCGAACCTGCCACCCTTTGGTGTATGGGGCGATGCTCCAACCAACTGAACCACATGGCTAGGGTTTTGGTACAGTGTTTAGAGTTTTCTATGTACAATATCATGTCATCTGCAAATAATGAGTTTAACCTCCTCCTTTCCAAATTGAATGCCTTTTATTTCTTCTTCCTGTCTAATTGCTGTGGCTAGGACTTCCAGTGTTATGCTGAATAAGAGTGTCTTGTTCCTGATCTTAAGGGGAACACTTTTAGTTTTTGCCCATTGAGTATAATGTTGGCTCTAGGTTTGTCATATTTGGCCTTTATTATGTTGAGGTATGACCCCTCTATTCTCACTTTACTGAGAGTTTTTATCAAAAAAGAGTGCTGGATTTTGTCAAATGCTTTTTCTGCACCTATTGATATGATCATGTGATTTTTATCCTTCATTTTGCCTATGTGATGTGTCATGTTTATTGATTTGTGAATATTGTACCAGCTTTGCATCCCTGGACAGATAGATTATTTTTTTCAATCTTTATAACAATGCTTGGTAATTGTCCCAGGTTTAGTGATGATGATAATGAGGCCCCAAGAGGTTAAAGTATTTTGTCTGAGATGGTGACAGCCTGGAAGTGGCAGAACTGCGATTCATATGCTTGTATATCTGACTGCAGAGCAGGCACATTTTCACATTCACTGGAGAAGAAGCCCAAAGAAGAAAATGGTTTTCCAGTATAAATTCCCTGTTACATTAAATAACTTCTCCCACCTTAAAGTTTGCTAGTCTTGAACACCATAATTGCATTTGGTAGGACAGGCCTTTGGTGTTACCATTTCAGGAGATGTTATGTGTTCTGAACCTTGTCTGGTGACAGAACATGGAACTCTTTGTAGCAAATCATACTTTTTAAGCAATGCCTCTGTGTTAGTTTGCTAGGGTTGCCATAGCAAAGTACCACAGACTGGGTGACTTAAACAACAGAAATTTATTTCTTCCCAGTTATGAAGGCTGGAAGTCCAAGATCAAGGTGTTAGCAGGTTGCTTTCTTCTGAGGCCTGTCTCCTTGTCTTGCAGATGGCTGCCTTTTGCTGTGTCCTCACATGGCCCTTCTTCTGTGTGTGTGCATCCCCGGTATCTCCTTGTTTGGCCAAATTTTCTCATTTTATAAGGACACCAGGCAGATTGTATCAGGGTTCACCCTAAAGACCTCACTTTAACATAATCATCTTTTTAAAGGTGATATGTCCAAATACAGTTACATTCTGATGTACTGGAGGTTAGGGCTTTAACATATGAATTTGGGGGGGGGGGGGTAAACACACAAGTTAGTCTATAACAACCACAAAATATCAATATTTTCCATCAAATGAGCATGAAATAATTGTCCTAGTTGAAGGTAATTACTATTGATATAAAATATAAAATCAGATGCCTACCATAAAAGAAAACTGAGCTCGAAGACTGATAATGATTGATTGTTTACAATATTTTATTTTTATCATATTTGTGGTCTACTTACAATGATAATAGGTATAAAGCTTTAAAGTGAAAAACCATAGAGCCCTGGCCAGATAGGTCAGTTGATTAGAGCATCATCCTTATGTGCTAAGGCTGTGGGTTTGATCCCAGGTCAGGGCACATACAAGAATCAACCAGTGAATGCATAAATAAGTGGAACAACAAATTGTTCCCCCCCCCCTCTAAAAATCAATAAGTAAAAGTTAAAAAGTAAAAACATAGGAATAAACCTTTACCTCTATTGAGAAAACGTGGGAGGTCTAGAGTTTAAGTTTTCAAGGAAAAGAAAAAGATGTAACCAGATTAAGACTGAGTCTTATTATAATTTGTGATTTGACATTTGAAGCCTGGAAGATTAGCTTCTATTTATAGGCTGTACTCTAAGCACAAATGGCATGTTCCTACTTGGCTCTTTGGAATGTTGTGCAGGGGTCCTGACGTAGTCAGATCATGCCTTACTCTTTGACCTTCATGTACATATTTTAGGTTATTTATTTTCTATCAGTTTATTGTCTTATTTATTTGAAATTTTATTTTCATCTCTCTGAATTATTCCTCTGAGCCTATCAATAATTGATATGTCTTGCCGTATTTAATAAATTCTTTTTGTTCCTCGAAGGTGCTTAAGTTCTAATTATAATTATTACAATGCATTTCACCACTCCCTCCTCGCCCCCCCCCCCCCCCCAAATCAGTCAATTTAGCCAGTGTTAACTTCTGGAATTGTAATAATCTAAATAATATCTTAATGGCTCCTTTTCTAAACTAGAAAAAATAACCATTGTGATTTTCTGGAATGCTGTCAACAAGGTTAACTTGTAGTTGTTGTTGTTGTTTTTTTTTAAAGCACATTAAAAAACCCCACAATTTTTATTGATTTTAGAGAGAGGAAGGGAAAGATAGAAACAGATAGAAACATTAATCGACTGGGGATCAAACCTGCAACTTGGCTATGTGTCCTGATCCTGACCAGAAATCGAACTTGCCACCTTTTGGTGCACAGGATGATGCTCCAATCAACTGAACCACGCTGGCCAGGGCCATTTTGTAGTTTTTGAACTATGATGTTAATGGTAGATGATGTTGAAAATGCATTAAAAAAAGTGTAAAAAAAAAATAGCAAGTCACATCTTGGTATATTTCTTTACACTCCTATGTACATTCAAAGCAAAATGGGAGTTGATTTTCCCTGTTCTTAACTTCTCTCAAACCCCTGGTTACTCCTAATTATAACATTTTCCCTATGTATCTTAAAACATAAGTGACCATCTGGGCATATGGTTTCTTTAGTTACCGACTTCACTGATTGCTTTCCAAGTCTCACTCTGTCTTCCTTTTCAAGCTTATCGTTGATGCAGGCAATTAGGCTTGAGTGCATCTCACCCTGGAATGCCTAATTTACCATGAAAATAATAGCTATTCTTTGGGCCCTGAGTTTTTACATGTGTTAATTTCATCTAATCCTCATAGCAAATCCTATGGGATAGGAACTATTATCTTTTTTCTTTTTCTTTTTTTTAATATATTTTATTGATTTTTTACAGAGAGGAAGAGAGAGAGATAGAGAGTTAGAAACATCGATCAGCTGCCTCCTGCACATCTCCTACTGGGGATATGCCCGCAACCCAGGTACATGCCCTTGACCGGAATCGAACCTGGGACCTTTCAGTCCGCAGGCCGACGCTCTATCCACTGAGCCAAACCGGTTTCGGCAGGAACTATTATCTTCACTTTCCATATGAAGAGACTGAGGCCTAGAAGGATTAAGTAGCTTGAAACCCAGGTAGTCTTTTTTTTTTAAATTAATTACGTTTTTATTGATTTTTTTGAGAGAGGAGAGAGAGAGAGAGAGAGAGAGAGAGAGAGAGAGAGAGAGAGAGAGAGAGAGAGACTGAGAGGAACTTTGATGTGAGAGAGAAACATTGATCAGTTGTCTAATGTACCCAACTGGGGACCAAACCTGCAACCTGGGCATGTGCCCTAACCAGGAATTTGGTGACTTTTTGGTGACTGGACGATGCTCAAACAACTCAGCTACATTGGCCAGGGCAAACCCTGGTAGTCTTAAGGCAATAACCTGCGCCCTTACCCAACATGCTTCACCACCTTTTCAAGGAGTAATTTATTGTGGTACCAGATTGTGTGTGAGTGATTTAAATGGGGTAAACGTGATCTGTTCCTCCTATCATTAAGGCATTATCAGAACTAATACAAGAGTATACCTGGGACGTGGAATAGTGCTACATCAGAGATTCACTGGGGGATCTCTTTAATTCAAGTAACACCAAGTCTTACTGTTTAATTCCACTTCTGAATAAGCATGATTAAGTATGCTATACTGTGTCTATGGAACAGTTTAAATTAATGCTTCTTGTTTTTGAACAGTGGGCCACGTTACGAATTGAAAAAGGAGTCCCAAAGGAGTCAGTTCTTAAAAACTCAGCTTCTGTTGGTGAGTCTTTCTTTTCATTTTGATGGTTAAAATATCAAATATATGATGATATAAAATGTCCCATTTATATCTACTCAATTTGAACTTGCAATATGCATAGAGTAGTGCATTCTGTAGGATTGTTCATGATTCTTTTCAAAATAGTAGCTGCTTAAGTGTTGAATGAGTTGTTACTGTAAAGGAGGTAACGTTTGCTAGTTTACCTGTGTGTTCTTACAGGGTATTTGTAAAGGCATGCATTTAAAGGTGATTGTTCATGGTTTTAAAGATGTAGTCAATGGCTTAAAAATAAAAGTAATTGGACTAAACTGGGAATTAAACCTATTTTTGAGGTTTTATTAACACTATTCTAATTATGTGGCTTTCAAAGTATTCTGTTCCTAAGAATACTCTTTCCTGCTAAAAGCTAATTGATGATACATGGAAAAAAAAACCCCCCAAAACAAAAATCTCTTCTGTGAAATCAGCGTGGGAATCACCACATTCTACACCTTCCTGTTGGAGAGTAGTGTTGCACAGTAACAAAGGCTCAGAAAAGTCCTGCAAGTAATGAAACTTGTTTAATTTTTGTTAGAAGTGAATTAACAAATCAACTGATTTAACCAGTCCCTGCTTCTGTCCCCAAGAAAACTGTTTAAAAGAATTTTAAGAATTATTAAAGACAGCAGGTTCGTAGGGGAGTAGAATTCTATGGGCGTAGTGGCTACAAATTAGTAAGAAATGAATCACTAGAGTTAATTAAAAGATTAAGTCTTTATGCATTTTTCAAAAATAATTGTTGAAACCATTTTGTGCCCATCTAATTTGGGATTAAAGAAGGTCAAAATGTTAAACACTTTACTAGAAGGAGTTTATCTTCTGGAGGCTTGTCTAAGAGGAGTTGTAGAAATTTTATTAAAAAAATAACTTATTTGAATGAAAACATCTGTCTATTTCTGTATAATTTATTGTTATGTTCAAATGAGTGAAGCGAATAGTAGTTTTGTGATATCTACTTAAATACCAAAGTATTATTACTGAAAATATTAATACTAAGATTGGATATCCTCTTTGTAGTGCCAGATACCTTTTTCTCAGAGCAGATCTACTAATTTTTTGTTTTTCTGGGTTGGGTACATTTTTTCATGTGTGTCCTTATGTTTTAAGGAGAGGACAAACTTTATTGCTGGTTTTCTGTTGTCTTTGGTTGCTGAGAATTTGGGCTTTCATTGATCTTGAGTGACCGTTTATGGGGCCCTATGTATTGAGGTGGTGGCAGTGGTGGTTCATCTCTTGGGTTATGAATTTAAAAGGGCACAAGGTGTTTCAATTTGGTAGGTTAAGAGGCTCAAAAAAATCACTAGGTGAGGATGGCCAGTGGCCTTGGTTTAGTTTCTTTAACCTATATGAAAGTGAATACTTTCACATGTTGGAATTTGTTGTTGTTATACATCTGGCTTTTCTATTTTTGGTCTTTATTTTTCCCAAGGTACCTCCAGGAAAGAGTGGAAGTGGAAGTGAAAGAGTGGCAGTTGTTCAGGGGATCCTTCTAGAATTACTTGGGGATCCAAAGGTGATTAAGGCATGGTTCCTGTGGGGAGACAGGCATCCAAGAGGCCACTGTGATAAATGCTAAAATAGGTGCATCAGCAAAGGACAATGTGAGATCTGACTTAGGCTCTGACACCTGCAGCTTCATCTCTGTTAATCCCACAACTGTTCATGGTATGCAGCTTTGCTCCCATCCTGACTTACGTCCTGCTTAGGTAGCTCTGTTCCAGGGTGTGTACATCCTGGTGTTTGGAGTCAGCCTGATTATTTCAATCCTAGATGACTGGCGGAGGGTGATGAAACACACAGCACTGGCCTGGCTGGTGCAATCTTCTGCCTTTGGAGCATCATGTCTCTGTACTGCAGCCAACAACCGCACAAGGCTGAGATGAGCTGGTTAAAGTTTAGTCCAGGGTCATAGGCAGACCAAGGCTCTCTCCCAGGAAAGATTTCCGTGATTTCACGGAAGCAATTTGGAGGTGTCTATCTAAATGATACTGCGCCGATGATAGCTTTGTGCAACTGAGAAGAGATGAACTAAACAGGGAAATAGTTATATTTATTTTCTGCACCAACAAATTCCTTCTGCTGCTCTTTTACTTGGTGAAGCACATTTTTGGAAACACTTAAGGCAGTGGTTCTCAACCTGTGGGTCGCGACCCCTTTGGGGGTCGAACGACCCTTCCATAGGGGTCGCCTAAGGCCATCGGAAAACACATATATAATTACATATTGTTTTTGTGATTAATCACTATGCTTTAATTATCTTCAATTTGTAACAATGAAATTGGGGGTCACCACAACATGAGGAATTGTATTAAAGGGTCGCTGCATTAGGAAGGTTGAGAACCACTGACTTAAGGTCTCCCTCCCCTTGCATTATATTTCATCTGCGCTTTTATTGAATAAGTCAACTGAAAAGTGAACCTATGGAAATGTTATCTGATTAAATAATCCTCTCTGTCTTTAGCCATATTCTATTGTGTCTTCTATTACAACTTTCTAAGTTATTAAGCTTCAGATATGATGGTAAGATCTCTTTAAGAATATTATTACACCTTCCTCTTCTAGGTTTAGGACTTTTCCTCATTGTTGATACAAGGATGAGGTTCAATGTTTTTACTCCCTTCAAGTAACAGTCAGCTCTGGTAGGGAATATAGATTTATCCTCTATCCTAATTTTTGTTCTCAGAGAGCTGATGTGCTAGAAGGCTAACATGAGAGAAAGTTCCTTTGCTTCCTTGCATCAGCTGAGCTTTCACCACTTCAGCCAAAAGACAGATGCATCTCTTCAAACCCTGAGACGTGGTCTGACAGAGATTTTAGCAACTTTTATTTTACTCTGTTGTGAACAGTGCCAGGGACCATTTGACTCTGAATAGCCACAAGCCTCACTCTTTGGGTGCCTGCCTGATTTCCAGGACTTACGCTATCAAACTTGAAACAGTTAGTAGTTTTGATTATACTTGTGTTGTAGGCAGTGGGAATGGCACTGAGTGTTAGATCCATGGGGTCAGACCAGCCCTGAGTTCAGCAACCTCAGGACTTGGTTTCTGGCCAGGAAAGAATTCAGAGCCAAGATCCAAACTATAAGAGAACATTTATTTATAAATCACAGGTGTAGAAAAAGTAATTCCTAGAAGAGGGCTTAGGAAACAAGTTATAGAGGTAAAGGAAGGGTCCTTGGAGCTTGGGAGTGAGGAAGCTGAAGGTAAAGTGCTTGTGGGGAGGGGGCAGGAGGTAGGAAAAGAAAGGGCGTGGGTGGGCTCGCAGGAGGGAGAGTGCACTGGGTCCTCTGTCCTAAGGGTTCTAAGGGTGGAGATTTGTGTGGAGGTCCCTGGGGGAGATCTTAATATTCAGCAGCTTTCCAGGTGTGTCCTTTCAGGGTCGGGGTCTCCACTGATTGATTGCTTGGCGCCAGGGCGGGGGGTCATTATTCAATGCAGCTGGTCCTGAGGTCAGCTGTGGCTGGTTTTGTTGCTCTTTTGGGGCTGGTGCTGAAATACTACTGAGACCTAGATGTTATTTCTAAGGAAAGGTCAGGCCTGGGGTCCAAACCTCAAGACTAGCTATATGCTAAGGGGGAGGAAAAGTCATCCTGGGTTGTCCCACCCTACAACCCCATAATTGTTCGTTGCTAGGCACCTGGGGCTTTTCACCCTGGTGACCTTCTATACCTGATCCATCGTCCTTGCTCTGCTCATGCCTGTCTAGCTGCCTACCACACTTGTAATGAATGTAATTAATTATGTCCTTTTTATGCTCAAGATTAATTCCACTATAATTACATTATGACACTAGGACATTTTGAATGATTACCAACCAAAAGTCAACAGTCAGGAATCAAGGCCTCTCTTTGCCCTTGCCTGGGGTTGTATGAGTCACAAACAATACAAATAAATGGGGGTGTGGCTTAGTCATTTTGGCAGTGTTCTCTGGAATGTGTTGCTGGTCTGACTCAGCACTGTGGGCAGTGAGAAATGCATGCCACCTCCTCAGGTCCTCCACTGTACCCTACTCCAGCAGGCACTGCACCCTAAAGATTTTGTGTCATGTGACCTACTGTTAATTAAGCCCCTATGCTAAATTTCTATTCTGCTCTGTATCTATTGTCCCCGAGTCCCTGCTTTCCCCCCCACCCAAGCACACACAAAGGAGAAAATGCTATGGTGAAACTTCTGAAGTTATACCTATTCAGAGAGAAAACAGGGTGCCTAACATTTCCCTCTGCAGTAATTTTATTTTTGGAATTCTTTCTGTGAGACCTGACTCACAATATTGATACCCGTATAACATTGGTTACACTGACATTAATCAAATCTTTTGAATTCACACAAAATGTGGGATAATAGTTTGTGACAGACATTTGAGGAATATAATTTTTATACTCAGTGTAGTCTTGGACAGGCCACTTAAAAACTGTATTTTTATTAATTTTAGAGAAGAAGGAAGAGGAAGAGAGATTAGAATCATCAATGATGAGAGAGAATCATTGATCAGCTGTCTCTTGCATGCCCCCTATTGGGGATCAAGCCCTGAAAAAACAGGGTTATTTCACTTTTAAAATATTGGAACTTGTCTAACTACCTGAAAGAGATAAATAACCCGGTTATGAGACGGAAAGGTTAGAGGTTGAGATTTTCTTTATCATGGCCAATTGTCTAACCCTGCTTTTACCAGTCTGCCTCTTAGCAATTCTTACTCCTGATGACCGTCATGATGATGTTAACAATTTTCAAACATACACCAAAACAGAGAATAGTATAATCACTTCTTATTTTCTGCTGAAGGATTCAATGCAGACATGTCTTTCCATGGATTTTTTTAAAAAAGGACTTTAAAAATAACAATAATGCTATTATCCCTCCAACAAACTGAATGGTTTCATAATATCATCTAATACACAGCCTATATATAAATTTTCCTAAAAGTTTCAAAGTGTTTATAATGGTTTTGTTTGAATCAAGATT